AAAGAAAACCAAAGCCGGAGGCATCACAATCCCAGACTTCAAGCTGTACTACAAGGCTGTAATCATCAAGACCGTATGGTACTGGCACAAGAACAGACACTCAGATAAGTGGAACAGAATAGAGAACCCAGAAATGGACCCACAAATGTATGGCCAACTAATCTTTGACAAAGCAGGAAAGAATATCCAATGGAATAAAGACAGTCTCTTCATTCAACAAGTGGTGCTGGGAAAACTGGACAGCGACATGCAGAAGAACAAACCTGGGCCACTTTCTTACACCATACACAAAAATAAACTCAAAATGGATGAAAGACCTGAATGTAAGACAGGAAACCATCAAAATCCTCAAGGAGAAAGCAGGCAAAAACCTCTTTGATCTTGCCCACAGCAACTTCTTACTCAACATGTCTCCGGAGGCAAGGGAAACAAAAGCAAAAATGAACTACTGGGACCTCATCAAAATAAAAAGCTTCTGCACAGTGAAGGAAACAATCAGCAAAACTATAAGGCAACCAACAGAATGGGAGAAGATATTTGCAAATGACATACCAGATAAAGGGTTAGTATCCAAAATCTATAAAGAACTTATCAAACTCAACACCCAAAAAACCAATAATCCAGTGAAGAAATGGGCCAAAGGCATGAATACACACTTCTCCAAGGAAGACATCCAGGTGGCCAACCGACACATGAAAAAATGCTCAACATCACTCATCACAGGGAAATACAAATCAAAACCACAATGAGATACCATCTTACACCTGTCAGAATGGCTAACATTAACAACTCAGGCAACAACAGATGTTGGCAAGGATGTGGAGAAAGAGCATCTCTTTTGCATTGTTGGTGGCAATGCAAGCTGGTGCAGCCACTCTGGAAAACAGTGTGGAGGTTCCTCAAAAAACTAAAAATAGAACTACCCTACAACCCAGCAATTGCACAACTAGGCATTTATCCACAGGATACAGGTGTGCTGTTTTGAAGGGACACATGCACCCCCATGTTTATAGCAGCACTGTCAACAATAGCCAAAGTATGGAAAGAGTCCAAATGCCCATCGATGGATGAATGGATAAAGAAGATGTGGTATATATATATACAATGGAGTATTACTTGGCAATCAAAAAGAATGAAATCTTGCCATTTGCAACTATGTGGATGGAGCTGGAGGATATTATGCTAAGTGAAATTAGGCAGTCAGAGAAAGACAAAAATCATATGACTTCACTCGTATGAGGACTTTAAGAGACAACAGATGAACACAAAGGAAGGGAAACAAAAATAATATAAAAACAGGGAGGGGGACAAAACAGAAGAGACTATAAATATGGAGAACAAACTGAGGGTTGCTGGAGGGATTGTGGGAGGGGGATGGGCTAAATGAGTAAGGGGCATTGGGAATCTACTCCTGAAATCATTGTTTCACTATATGCTAACTAATTTGGATGTAAATTTTAAAAAATAAAAAATAAAATTAAAAAAATGAATTAACATTAAAAAAAAAGTTGTGGGATTAGTATCAGATATTATGATATTTAAGACTTTTCCACTTTGGGCAAGTGAATTTTCATAACTTTCTTATGCTATTACCTGTTTATTCATATACATTTGTGTATTTATATATTTCATATTATTACATCATGATAACACTTCCTCCATTGTGTTAGATGTGAGATTACATGAGATAATGTGTTTAAAACACAGGGAGTAGTACATTATACTAAATACTGCATCACCCAATAACAACTTAAAGAATGAATGGATGAATGCAAATATTGAATCTTACCTTACTGGCTAGGTGTTGAATCCTAAACTAAGACGTGGTTTTCAGAGTTAAAAAGGTTCATAACCAAAAATGACTATCAGTATATTTAGGAGCTTCCTTGATGGTCTCAGGAGTCTACTTAAATCCTATATAATCCTATAAACAATAATATATCATTTCTTTGGAATAGCTGCTGTAGGAAATAGATTCTTATCCCATGAGGGTTTTTTTTTTTAAATGTTTATTTAGTTTTGAGAGAGCAAGAGACCGAGAGAGAATGAGAGGGGGAGGGACAGAGAGAGAAGGGGACAGAGGATCCAAAGCAGCCTCTGTGCTGACAGCAGAGAGCCTGACACGAGGCTCGAACTCATGAACCGTGAGATCATGACCTGAGCCAAAGCTGGATACTTAATCGACTGAGCCATCCAGGTGCCCCGTGGTCTGAGTTTTTCATAGGGCTTTCTTAGTCTTTACTTTTATTACTCCTCTGCCTCTGGTTGCATCTGAAAGGTCTGCCCTCCCCATCCCAAGGCTATCCTCCAGCAAGGAGTGGGTACATCACGGGCTATGGCGCTGGAAAGAACAGACAAGATGGTCCTGGGAAGGGTGGTCCATGTACTTTAAATTGGTTTCAAGTAGGAAGGGTGGGTTTTCTCTGATCCACCTATATTTCCTACCCTGTGTAATAAAGGCATGCCGTTGGGTGACTGACTTGGTGAAGCAGTGTGGAGGGCAGAGTAACAGCCCCAAAGATACCAAATTTCTGACCTAGTGAATGTTGTTTCAAATGGCAAAAAGGACTTTGCAGAGGTGGTTAAGGATTTTAAAGAAGGCAAATGTCCAGGGTTATTTGGGTGGGTGCAATGTAATCCCAAGGGTCATCATAAATGAAAGAGAGAGGTAAGAAGATCAAAGTCAAAGAGAGATTTGAAGATGGATAATGAAGCCATGCAGGCGGCCTCTAGAAGCTGGAAAAGCCCAAGAATTGGATTCTTCCCTAGACCCTCTAGAAGGAAAACAGCACTGCCAACACCTGGATGCTAGTCAGGTGAGACTTATTTCAGGTACTGACTAGAGATTAGGAAACAAAATTAAAACTTTGCCCAAGTGTGGTTTGACTAATAAAGGAAATTCTATTTATTTTCGTTTCCTCACATTCATCCCTAGCATTTGCCTTCAAGGAACACATAGACTTCAGAGTGATATGGAAAAATGAACAGGCAGTTACCATCGTGTTTCTATGAGGAAAATACAGAGTGTTACTAAAAAGTATAGGAGGGACACACAATCCCAACTTGGGGAGCTCAAAGATTTCCTAAATGAAATGGCCATTGTATTAATCTGAGTTTCCCAGAGAAATGGAGCCATGGAGAGAGGAGTGTGTGTGTGTGTGTGTGTGTGTGTGTGTGTGTGTGTGTGTGTACATATATAATCTATTATAAGGAATTGTCTAATGCAGTTATGGAGGCTGAGAAGTCTCAAGTCAGTAAGCTGGGGACCTGAGAGGACCAATGGTGTGAGTTTCTCTGAGTCTGAGTCCCAAGGCAGGAGAAGATCAATGTCTCAGCTCAAGCAGTTAGGCAGAGACCAAATTCTCTTTTACTCTGCCTTTTTGTTCTATTCAGGCCTTTAATAGATTAGATGAGGCCTACCCTTATTGGGGACGGCAATCTATTTACTCAGTCTACTGATTCAAATATTAGTTTTGTCCAAAAACCTCACAAACATACCCAGTATCATGTTTGACCAAAAATATGGGCATCCTGTGCTCCAAATTGACACATAAAATTAACCATCACAGCCACTCAGGTATGACGTGAAGGATTAGTTTGTATAGCATCATAATCCAGCTTGGTCCGATGAATATAACATGAAACATTTTTCGTGAAATATTTGTTCATAAAAAGAACAAAGCAGGTTCTGACAGGGAAATATCTCTAATGTATACAAGTGAACAAGGCAATTCTCAGAGTTATTACACATTACATCATCATGTTTTAGAAAAGAAAGATGTTTGTAAATGTGTATATGTACATTCAAAGCACAGAAAGGAGAGTATAAAGTGTATAACAATAATTGACAGTGATTCTTTCTGGGAAGATGTGAAGGAAAGGGAAAGATACAGAAGAAGGAATTTCAACATGTTACCAGTGTATGTGCATGCATAGAAAAAGACATGGCAGATTACTCACAGAAGTGTTAAGAGAAGAATTTTTGAGTGAGTGGGATTCTTTATGGGTAGTTTTATATTCTTTTAGTTATTCTGCATTTTCTTTCTTTTTTAGGCTTTTTATTTATAAAGGTTTTAGCTACCTTTAAAAGGTAATACATGTACATAGTCTGAAATTCAAAAGGCACAAGATACCTAGGGAAAATCCTCTCACGTTTGGAAATGACATGGTGATTTATGGGAAGGAAGATTTTATTCAAGCCCGGGAACTATCACCATAGGGTTATGGACAACTGTGATGGAAATCCGCAGTGAGGAAGAGAGATCCGGCTCAACTTTGAATACAGCACAAGCCAAGCGGGAATCTATAGCCAAGGAGCAAGGTGGGGGTCTCTGAATAGAATATTATTAACAGGAAACATCAGAGTTAAGGGTGGGGGATTCGGTCTAAACCCACCCATGCGGCGGCGCCTGGGTGGCTTGGTGGGTTAAGCCTCCACTCTTGGTTTCAGCTCGTCATGATCTCACTGTTAGGGTCACCGTGGTGAGATCAAGTCCCGCTGTCGGCTCTGCGCTGACAGTGCAGAGGCCACTAGGGACTCTCTCTCTGCCCCTGCCCCACTCACTCTCTCTGCCTCTCTCAAATAAGTAAACTTACAAAAATAAAAATTAAAAAGATAAACCGAACCAACAGGACTCTTGCTGAAGGCAAGCCGAGGTGATCAGACCCGACCGGGGGATGCAGGCGATGAGGACTTTGGTCATACGTCAAGGGAGAGCACACATGGAGGGTGGGGGATTCCGGCTGAACTGACACGGGAACTCCTGTTAAAATGGGTCGATGCAGAACGTCACGTGGAAGTCCAACAGTGAGGTCTGGTTGCACCGGGGTTGAGGGTCACCTGAGTAGGGTTCAGTCAGTGGGCGAACCCTCGCCAGTGGAATCAGGGTGTGTGGTCCTTGGGGGGCTGGCGTCCCTCACTAAGCAGGTGTCAACACTTCCCTTTCATTGCCGAATCCCACTCCATTCAAAGTTTTAATTGGCCAGCCCTTTTAGCTTACTTGTTTTTGGTCTCGGCTTCCTCTACCTAGGGCTTCGGGCCCTAGGGCCGCAAGACAACATGACCGGGAAGCGTGGCAACCCCCGCGGCGATCCGGGAGGCGGGCCACCCCCCTTCACGCCCCCGCTGCCACCCGGCTGCCGGCCTTGAGCGCCCCGCCCCCCAGAACGAGCTAAAGAGCGAACGGCGCCCGGACACAACAACCGACCTTGCTACCAGAGCCCTCCAGTCGGGAGAAAAGGCGTCCGTGGTCCCCAAACCCCGGCAACCCAAGGGTCACGGGAGCGCGCCGGAACCATCAGCGCGCCCCCAGTATCTGGAGCCGGAGGGAACGCGTTTGCGAAGGACTTCCGGGGCGGGGCCTGGCGGGAGCCGAAGATCCCGGCGGCGCCGGACAGGGAGCTGGCGACAGCTGTGCGGACTCGGGGCGGGCCCGGCCGGCAGCGGGAAGGAGGGCGCGCGCGGGGGCGGTGGACCAAGCTCTGCCGGATTCTCCGGCCGCGCGGCCATGAACCTGGAGCGGCTGCGGAAGCGTGTCCGGCAGTACCTGGACCAGGTGGGCGGCCCAGCCCGGGGAGCTCAGGCCCCGGGGCTCGTTGAGGCCAGCGCGCCTGAGCCCTTGTCCGCAGGGTAACTGTCGTCAGGGTCTTGCAGGCGCTTCGTCCGGCGGGGCCTGGGCTGAAGCCCCGGAAGGGAGGGAGGCAGCCCCTCAGCCCTCTCTGCATCTGGGAGGACGAGGAGCCCTGGGAGCGCAAGCCACCAAAGCGCAGCGCGAGCTTTACACGTGTTGACTCCCGCTCTGCAGCCGTCCTAACTGCTGCGCGCAGTGGGTGCTCAGTACAAACTTACTGCTCAGTGGAAGTTAAAGGGTTATTTTAGGAGGAAAGTTGCAGGATGGCCTTTGAATTTAGCTAGTTAATGGAAAAGTTTCGAGAAGCTTAGTTGTAATTCTTATTTGGCAGAATTTAAGTGAATAAAGATACAAACAAGCCTGTTGTGTCAAATCAGTACTTTAACAAATTCATGTTGGGACGCCTGGATGGCTCAGTCGGTTGAGCCACACGGACTTCAGCTCAGGTCATGATCTCAGGGTTTGTGAGTTCGAGTCCCGTGTAGGGCTCTGTGCTGACAGCTCAGAGCCTGGAGCCTGCTTCGGATTCTGTGTCTCCCTTGCTCTCTGCCCCTCCTCGGCTCGCACTCTGTCTCTCTCAGGAGGAAATAAACATTAAAAAAAATTTTTTTTAATAAAAAATAAATGTTAACTCTGTCTGTATTCCCTGCACTGCCCGTGAATGAGCAGCAGTTTGTTTAGGAAGTGTCTCCAGAATCAGCAGCATTACTTTTATCCACAAGGTCAGGTAGTTTGTTTGTTTGTTTGTTTGTTTGCTTTTAACGTTTAGTTTTTGAGAGCGCTAGCAGGGCAGGGGCAGAGAGAGAGGGAGACAGAGAATCCCAAGCAGGCCCTGCGTTGTCGGTGCAAAGCCCATCCTGGGGCTTGAAACCACCAACAGAACCCTGAGATCAGGACATGGGCCACCTAGGCGCCCCAAGGTCATTTAGTTTTATAAAATTTATACTCTCCAAGTAAGTTGAAAACCAGGAAGGGGAGGGAAAAGCATATTTGATATGAAATGTTTCTAATGGATGTGACATAACACTGCCAGATGCCTGCGGTATGTTAGGGTCTTGTGTTGGTGAGTCAGTTGAACTGAACAGGTGCTTCTGAGCACTTTCCTTTTGGTTCTGGGGATGTAGTGAGAGATGAGACAGGTCCGGTTTCCACCCTGGGGGCACCTACCTTGAGCAGATTTGTAACCATTCCATAAGCATTCCTTTTCCCAGATTGACTGGTGACAGAGTACCTAGCTGGTGTTCAAGAACTGTACAAAGACAGAACGTTGCTAATGAGGAGATAACTGCAAAATAATTGTTTAAATTATCTACTGTCTTAGATACCTGCTTCTACATTTTTACAATGTATAAGTTTAAAAAAAATCCTACCTTCTTGAGCTGTATGTATCAAAGAGCCTACAATAATGTTTTTGTACCTTTGAACCAAAACTCACCTAGCTGAGATGTAAAATGGAGATAAGATTGGTAGACCTTTGCTACATGTAAAAAATTGTATTAAGATGTTGATTTATTATATAGCATTCTAACAATATTAGATATCTGTTTAAAACTATTGAAATAACAAGGTGGTTACTTTTTATGTTTTGATACAGCAACAGTATCAAAGTGCTCTATTTTGGGCAGATAAAGTAGCTTCACTCTCTCATGGTAAGTGACAACTTGTAATTTTTTTCTGATTTCTATATTTTAAAAACTTTTCTATCTTTCCTTGTGCCTCTGACCATTTATGTGATTTTTTTCCTTCCAGAGGAACCCCAGGACATTTATTGGTTGGCTCAGTGTCTTTACCTGACAGCGCAATATCACAGAGCAGCTCATGCACTTCGGTCACGAAAACTGGACAAAGTAAGTGATTGTGTGAACTTTAAAGCTTCCCAAACTTTTCAAAAATGCTGTTAGATGAGGGGCACCTGGGTGGTCAGTTGTTTAAGTGTCTGACTCTTGGTTTCAGCTCAGGTCATGATCCCATGGTTTGTGAGTTCGAGCTCTGCATCGGACTCTGCACTGACAACATGGAGCCTGCTTGGAACTCTCTCTCTCCCTCTCTACCCCTCTTGAGCCCTTTCTCTGTCTCTCTCAAAATAAATAAACTTAAAAAAAAAAATGAAAGGTATTAATTAAAAAAATATCATTAGATTAAATGTGAAAGTTATTTAAAAGGATTCAATTTTTCTTATTGAATGTAAAGAAAAATTTTCTTATTCCTAATCTCAGTCACTTTTGTCCCCCAATCTAATCACTCAGTTTTGAAAATTCTGTTTTCTAAGTAACTCTGAAATTATGGATATTCTTTTCCATTTCATTACTGCTCATACATGTCAGGCCTTTAATTTGTCTGTTTTGTTTTAGCTTCTTGTCTCTTTTCTTTGATAATATCTTTCCCACTTCCATTTTCCCTGATTCTTTTTAGCAGTCTTTTAAACTATCACAAGAGTGGTCTTCCTAAAACACAGAAACACAGACCTGATTATAGCACTGACAGTATCAATCAGTGATTTCCCACCACCTACATAGGCACCAGAGTCCCTGTGGTTTCTCTCCATCGGTGTCGAACCCACCACCACCACCAGTACAAGTAACATGTGCAAACTGACTGTTTGCAGTCCCATAGAGGAGTGTCCCTGCTCAGTGCCTGGAATGCTGGCCAGCCCCTCCACCTCTGTCCCTTGCACATGTTTTCTTAACTGCTAGTACTTTTATGCCGTTCTTCCAGAGTTTATATAGTTTATGTCTCACGAGTACTGTGTTTGCGTCTTCCTGCCGTAACCTCCTTAACAGATTGTTTTCTCTCCTAGCTGTATGAAGCATGCCGCTACCTCGCAGCTAGATGCCATGTAAGTATGCCATCTGTTTTAATTTTCTTGGTAAAAGTTTAATTATGTTGCTGTTATACAGAAATCTGGTGGTGGAGCTGGCAGATTAGTAAAGTATTCATGAGGAAGTGTTCTTTTCTTTAGTATTGTGTGCTATAAAATATTGATTCTCTATTTACCAATATCTGACATGCATGAAGAAAACTCTGCCTTAGAATTTGAAATTTTAAGCTCTACGTTTTAAATATAAGTAATGAGTAGGTATATTCTATGACCCTTTTAAAATTGACAGTATTTGCTTGTATGTCTAAGTGTTCGAAGTGATAGGTGATAAACAGTAGTTCTGGCTTTTGCACAACACAGTATGCTGCGAAAGAGCATCAGCAGGCACTTGATATTCTTGACATGGAGGAGCCAATCAACAAAAGGTTATTTGAGAAGTACTTGAAGGATGAAAGTGGCTTGAAAGACCCCTCCAATGACTGGGAAATGTCACAGTCCTCCGTAAGTAATGCTGCAATAAGCATACTTCAGTAACATCAGTAAGAATTACTCACACGACATGCAAAACATAAATCACTTTCTTTTATTTCAGTATCACCATGTTAAAACAGTTCAGTTGCCAACTTATTTAATTTGCCACTGAAACACAAGAAGACTCCGAGACATTTCTGAGTCATTAGATGGAAAGCTATAGCTATGTCCTCATATGCTTGAGTCTGAAATAGGCTGACTTGAGAGCTTTCTTCTCATATTTGATGCCTTAAATTACTCCCACAGATGGAATAACCTTTCCCTTTCTTACTGTGTTTCAATACCTACCCCAGGAAACCATAGTTTGCTTCTTTCCAGGGAGTGGTTTGGTGTTACTCTTTATGTAATTTGTTTACTTCAGTTTGTATACTTCATATCTGCCTGAAATTGCAAATTCCTTGTTGGCAGAGATTATATAATGTAACATAATAAATGACATTCACAGATTACTAATCTCGACTGTTATTATTTTTTCTTTTTTTCTGGTTTTTTTTTTTTTTTTAACAGCCTTCTTGAGACTATTTATGTGCTAAGGAGCACGTTTATTTTTCTGCTAATAAAGGTATTTATGAGGGAGTCTGGTATTACCATTATTATTTTTGGACTACTTACCATTTACCTACTAAGAAATACATGGTTTGTTTGTAATGCATGATTTATCTTATGAAATTATTATTATTATCATTATTATTATTATTTACAAGTCATAAGATACTGCATTGGTGTAAGATTACACCTTGTTACATCCTCTTATTTTTAAGTTTGGATTTTATGATGAATCTTCTTTGTCCCTTTACCAGTTTTAGCTGCCCGTCTCTGGATCATCTGTAGGTTTAGTTGCATGTTTCTTGAGGTTCAGAGTCTAGAATCTAGGTTGGATTGCTGTCCACATCCTCTTGTTAGTGGTTGTGGTGAGGTGGCTACTCTGTGAACACCTCACATGTACTCGCTTTGCAGAAGACTAGCACCTCTGCTTCTCACAGGGCCCTGTAAGTTAGATGAGGGACGGAAACTTGTCCAGGGTCACTAGGAAGCATCAGAGCTGGGGTTTTAACTCAGGTCTGTCCAATGCTACAAGTTCATGACCCTAATCGTGGTACCTTATTGC